AACTATAAGACCTAAATAAAATCTTTGTGTTATTTTCAAAATTATTAAAAATTGCATTGTTCTTTGAATTTTTACAAGAAAATTTAACCAAAGTAGTTTTATTCTTATTTAGTAAAAAGATTGTATCATTGAGGAAAGTGTTAACAATTGAAACGGCATTTTCTATTTTGGATTCTATACTTTTTGTATTTTTGTCATGAATTGACAAACTGATGTCATCTGCATACAAACATAGTTTGCTATTCTGAATTTTATTAGTTATATGTTCCTGCATACCTCCCAGATAACATAAGAATAGGAATGGTCCAAGAACCGATCCTTGAGTAACCGAATATTGTACTTGCCTTAACTTGATTCGATATTGTACCATTGTACACTGGCATGCTGATGCCTTTCTTCCAAATAAGACCTTATCCAGTTCAATTCTTCACCATATATACCATAATTGTTAAGCTTATTTATTAAGCTAGGCTGGTGAACTCTATCAAAGGCTTAAACGTGTCTAAAAAAGCACTAATAATACAGTTTTCTTCATCCAAATTGTTTAAAATATCTTCAATAAAAGATATCTTCAATGCTTTTATGGTGGACTTGTCGGCTGTTTTTTTTTTTTTTTTTTCGGATGCCATTAACGGTCATTTGTAAATTAACCTACAGTAGGCTCCCTCTTATCCGGACTTCTCGGGACCGAGGCCAGTCTGGATAGCGGATTTTCCAGTGAAACCGATGTCTCCAAAAACTCATTTAAACGGACCGATTACATGCATACTGTATACGGTATTTGACTTAAATTTAAGAGAACATCGTATTTAGAGACGTGATCACTGGTTTCAAATCTTTCTCACAAGAACAGTCGTTTCAGTACCGTCCACTTCCTGCCGATCTAGTCCGGTTAAACCGATGTGCTGATAAAAATTGTCCTGTTAAAGAGATGTAATTTCCGCAAAGTGTAGTCCGGTTAAACCGATGTCCGGGTAAGAGAGGAGTCAACTGTAACAACAAATGCACTTTCTAATGTTCAGCAACAATAGGTAACCAATAACATTTTACTAATAAAAATTGAAATAGGCTATTTATAAACTCTCCCAATTCCAACTTGTCGATTATTTTATTTCCCTCGGCCAGGGGGGCCACCTGTGCCACGAGATATATCGCCACCATTGCCGAAGATTGTACAGTACCGGTATATACATTTTAAATTAAATTAATTTAGCATAAGCTGTAAACTCCAGTTGAAACTAGCTATTATAAAATTGTATGCAAGTTGATTGAATTGATTGGAACTAGATAAATGGCAGTACATGTCAAGGCAATATGTATTTGCTAAGCGATAAACACAGCATAACATGATAACGTAATTATTTGATACCTTTTTTCCACAGACATTATATGACCCATACATCACTCCTTATCTTCTTTGACTACATGATACAAATGATAGTTATATGTAGTTACTTTGCCATAATAGGGGTTGAAATAAGTGATAAAAAGTTGCTTTATGTGTCCAACAAATTTTAATAAATTTAGCAGACTACCATTAGCATTCCTTTAACAAATAGCTAGTCATGAGCAACTATTACATCGGTGGATGTACAATGACATCTGTTCTTAAATCAACTTGACACATTTTAAACCTTTACTAAAACAAATTGTTATTTGTAATGGTTTATTTTTGTTTTTGGTATCCCTGGTGGTATCATCTTTATGTTTAGGGGTCCCTAAAGTAGTTTCTAGTGAACACTTAGACAATTAAGCCTAATTGTTAGCTTTAAATTTCGAAGCAGGTGCATGTAAATTTGACTACTGTCAACAATACTATGATTTTTACTACACTAGCATATCACAGTAAAAAATCCAAGTTTATAATTTTACTCAGTTTCAAGAATTGGTTAAAATAAAGTTAGCTTTTTTGCTGCTTTATCCCAAAATTTAAAAAAAAAATGCTTAAAGTCTCTGTTTTTGTACAGCATTTGTATTAGTTCCTGAAGTGAAAACAAGCTCTAAAAAAGTATATTTACCAAGAAGCTCTGTTTCACATAATCACTAACTCAAACTCAAACTCTTTATTTGTCATAAAAACATTACAAATTTGAGCATAGCTCATGTAACAGATGGCATGTCAATTATAACTAGAGTGTAAATTAACTATTACAATTAATTACAATTACAATTATTACAATTAATTATTAAAAAATCAAATATAATGTATAAGATATAGTCTAACAAAAATGAGAATATATACAGTACAACACCCCTGACTCAGACAGATGTGCTCATTTAAAAACAAAATCGTCCACTTTATAAGGACATGTTGCAGCTAGATGAGTTTCCAGTTTTTTTTTTAAATGTGTTAGTATTTTTTTTTTATCTCTGGTGGAAGGTGATTAAACAGTTTAATTGCCATGTAATATGGACCCTTCTCCAAAAGAGACAATCTGCTGCATAGAATGTAATAATGTCCTTTTTATATTACAGAGGTTTGCATTTATCTTGTAATACTAGCACTATTTTTTTTAAGTCTTAAAAGTAGTTGATCCTATTTAAATTTTCTTATCTTTACATTTTTTAACATGGATGTCTACTGAATAGCCATTATAATATTAAGACCCAATAGTGGAATCATTTGAGTCACTAACATTCTAGATGCAAATGAAATACAACCTATTTCATTTACAAAATAACAGTTTAGTTTGTTGAAAATTGATATTTCACCTACACCTACGAAGCAATCACACTCTGAGCATTTTCTAATGTGAAAAGATGTCAAAAATAATATTTCTAATCAAACGATATTTTCTATTTAGTACAAAATGCTTCAACTTTGATGGCATGACCCTGTTTTCCCTAGAAGATTATTAAGTGTAATTTTGACTTTTCATCAACACAGATTCATTTATTACTTCTATGATACAGATTTTACACATTCCCTTTTGAATATTATATAGTTTCGCCCAATTGTGTTCCCTACTGGTAGAACACTATTTGAAATGTAGCTGTAATTTATTTGTGAGTGAATTGGTTTCTATCAGTAGGCTATTTAACGATCTTGCTCACAATGACTCACTGAGCAGTAAAACCCATTCTTAGAGTTGTTCACCTTGAAAAACTCATTAAATGCCCATCAGCTTCTTCATATTACCATTACAATGCTACTCAATTTGTATGCTGATTAGCTGTAATGGCTTGCCCAAACTGCCAATTGTATATGGTGATATGGACTGATATATGGATTGATTCCTCCAGATGAAATTAACTGCAGTACAGAATACTTTCTCTAATTTTATATTCAAATTTGTACTTAAACAATAATTTGCATCAAACCCAAATTGTCAAATTTAGGTTTGAACTTTTGTGGTTGTGTTTGTTGTTGATGGTTTTGATGTGTTGATTTTGTTTTACGGACAAAATATTGCGATTGGGTTTATGATAGATTTATTTCCATTTATTTATTGACCTAAAGGTTACAAGCTAAACCAAAAAACTATTCTATCGAAGGTAATTTTTCACTAGATTCAATCGAACCCAATCTGCTGGGTTAGTCCTTTTTTATCTGAAACTGAGAGTTTTTGTAGCCCCATGTTTAACCATCCCTCTCATTCCTTCTTACCCACAGACTGTTGGGCTTTAGCATAAAAATAGTCAAACAACTAGTGAAATTAGTGTTTGTTGAGGGTTTAACATCAAAAAGATTTACTGTAGAGATAAGTGCCTTAACACTGTTCCACTGCGTTCTTCCTCAAATCGAGTCCTGCGTAGGATAGTTGTTCATGATTAAATCACTTTCGAAAATTGAGCCACAATTCAAAGTAGGGTACAATTTGTTGGAGAAGATAGTTCAGATACTCAGAACAAGTTTGGTGTTATGGTACAACAAGACCATATAGTCTGTAGCTGATCGGGTCTAAAAGACAGTTATAATCTCTGCTTGTGGAAAGTCCATTAGCAGGCTTACAAGGTCACCTGGATACTGGATGCTTCTCTAATTAGGGAAATTGGATCAACAGTTTCCCAACCATTTGATTATGTGAAAACGGGGCTTGCTTTATTGATGGGTTTGCTCTGAATTACTGACTTGACTAATTGGCAATTCATAAGCATTCCAGTAAAATATCAATTTCTATTAAATCTTGACAGCTTCCAGATTCTTTGGATATCGATATCTTGCTTTAATGTTTGAATTACATAACAATTTACCTCTTACATGACTTTGGTACCTATCACAAGGTAGGTTGTGCAAAGATTATGTGTTATGCTTATATGGTTCCATTTTTCACTATGTATATGTGGAGATTTTCTAATAGCCCACAGTTAAAAAGTATCTGTTATAGTGATAAAAAACTGATTGTGAAATATTAAAAGTCAAAAGTAATATTTCATTTTAAAGATTTAGACTAGGGATATTTTTTTACGTTCCTGTTATTTTTAAGGTTAAGTCATTCATGCATAGGGAAATAGATTAAAATATTAGTGTGTATTTTTGTACTATTTTGTGTTTTGTACTGTACTATTTTACCGCCACTATTAAACCTTTTATTTTCAATTTATTAACCTTATTATGAAACGGTGTGTCATAATATTTTCATAAGTCATAATTATTTACCAATTTACAAATTTTTTTTTTTTAGTAGGCCTACGACTAATATTGTTTGAGTAAATGTAAATATACATAATCTGGTATTATGGTTTGGAATATATCACACGAGTCTGTAAATTAAGATCCCCAATGAGCTTCAGCCGCGACCATCGATTTCTCTCTGATTGATATCTTGTTTACTATGACGAGACTAATCGTCGCCTAGTGGTAAGACCAGTTGGAATACTGGTGGAGAAAGTTAGGAATACCATGTTGATGTGAGATTTAAACTAGCTCGCTTGGCTGCGACGGGGCTTGCTGGAGACCTTAATTTACCTTCCTCGCAGCATCATATTTTGCTTCTGTACATTCACGCTCAAACGTGTGGTTTTTATGTTCAGAAAGTGAAATGTGTGAATTGTTGCAGCACGCACCAGTTTACCAATAAATGACATTATCGCTGCCAAGTACATCCACAATGATGACCAGAGCTGTTGTTCAACTCCGTCCGAGACTGGAGTGTCAGAAGATGTGGACACTGTCCATCTGGACTTCACCGTCCACTACGTGGTCCAAGAGAAGCAAAACGAGTGGAAGTACAAGAGAGTTGACTTCAAGGGTTCGGATCATAGACATGTCACTAGCTGGGTCATGACACTAGAAATTATGCTGAAAGGTGATTTATTACCTGTAATGTCCTTTCTTATACTGCATGTTTAGTTGGTAAGTTATACAGCATGTAACAATATTTACTTGTACTGTATCCAGGCCTGTGGTTACTGGTTAGTACGTAACACGCTATGGGCCTGAGAGGTAGTTGTGAACCCCCCCCCCCCCCCCCCCCCGATTAATAAGAATACAAAAATTCAAAGTAGGCATTTTACGATTTGTATGCGCGTCCGCAATATAACAACGTTAAGGCTCGTTATATTGTGTTTACTTTTGTTATGAAAAAGAATGGCATAGTAAAGTCAAAACAAAACTGTTAATTACAATAAGTTTAACTTTTACTTACACATTTATATTTCCAAGGGTGCGTTTTTAAAAGTAAAATGGGTTTAATTATAACATCTTTGTTATGGGTCATGAAGATCAAATAAAAATGAAACAAAAGTTAAGATGAAGTGGTTGGCTTTACACAGCTAGGTTATGTTCTTTTAATTGATAAAAGCCCACTGGATGAATCACCAGCTACTGTTTACTGGTTCTGCTGATTGTAACCCATCGTAATTGCTTATGGGCTTGTATACCTCTTTCCTTTACAGGGTAGATACCTCCTCAGGGTCGTCTAATCCGACAGTTCCTGGAGGTACAGTTTTAATTCATAAAAACAGTACTCGATTTGTAAAAAATGATGTGCCGGAACTGTAACCTATTTAATGTGATTAGTACCTATTTATGCTAATATTTTATCTTTCTGAAAGAGAGGTGCTGGAACTCTGTTCCGCCGCGTTCCCCCTCAAATCGAGCACTGCATAAAAATCTACTAATTTTAGGAACTTTTGTAGCCTTTTTCACTTCCCAAACGTTTTCTTGTCGCCCTCTTTCTAAACTCACTGACACCTGGTTTTTTACTCATTTCACAGAAACAGTATGTGAGGTTTTCGCTAGGAGGTTGGCTCTAGTACTTGACTAAATCATAGCTCAGACTGACAATTTATTGCTGAACAGTCTAAATGCATCAACATATTTTAGGAATAAGTAGCGTTGAGGTACTAAACCAGCAATGAGATATTACACCGCAGACCTAAAAAAAGGTTACCTCTATAGTGCCAGCAAATAGGATTAAGGAACTCTTTGTAAACTTTGAGATATGTAATAATCAACAAAACATTGCCTGGGACTGATATGTGGTACTACATGCTAGAAACAAACACGAAAGGTTGACAGACAATTCAGTAATTGGCTGATCAAGCAGTATTTGGGTCTTAGCATCTCTTGTTCAGCTCAAATAGATATTCAGTTTTGACTACCTAGAATTCATTGTTGTTAACATTTCAGTATAGACTCGCTAGTCCAACCAACTGAGGGAAACCTTGATCTGATAAAGTAATGGTTTGGATACCATGCAAAATGGTAGTTAGAGGCTCATACAATGGGTTAGAATATCAAGATATAGCAATTTGAAATAATATTTTAAACAATATAATGTATTTAATGTGACATAGATACGTTCTCCCGCATAAATAGTTATTACAATACAAATTGTAAACGATTGTTTTGGAATTCAGTGTTGCATCGTGAACTAGTCAGAAGTGTACAGTGCACATGAACGACATATCCAGACTAAACCCCCTCTCTTGGTGTACTAAATATAAACACTGCTCTCATTGTGTTTACTTTGCTAATACCCAGTTATTGCATTAATTTAACTATTGCATTAATAGGCTACTTTTATTGTAGGCCATGTAACTACCTGTATCAAAAGAAAAACCTTTTATCTACTTAAATTTATTTTGTTTTTGATCCTGCTTTTTCAGCTAATAATCATCAAATATTACAATTATTGTATAAATTAACTGTAATAATAGGCCTACTGGTTGACAAGACAGACTAACTTAGATTTACAGCCATAGGAAAAAGATCATAGGATGTCGGATTAGAGCGTTACCATACAAAGTATATGATATAAGGGTGTAGCATAGAGCACAAGGGCCTAGGTATTTAGGATTTTTTGAGAGGATAGCAGGCTTACCTGAGTGGGAAAGAGTCCAAACTGGTACAAGAAACACAAAACTGTACAACTATATACACAAAACATATTTCAGCATTTTCAACTAAGGAGGAGAGAGTTTTCCATTAGACATGTAGAAAACTCTCTCTTCCTTAGTTGAAAATGCTGTCAGTGACAGTGAAATATTCTAATGTTTGGTGTATATAGTTGTAAAGTGTTGTGTTTCCTGTGCCAGTTTGGACTCTTTCCCATTCAGGTAAGCCTGCTATCCTCTCAAAAAATCCTAAAGTATATGATACTTAGCCTTACGTTTGATGAGAAGATGATTTAATAAGGTTTTAAAAACAGTTTAGAAGAAAGCCTTCAATGTTTTATAAACATTAATATAATAACTGTATTAGTTGTAAAGTTGAAATTTTTTTTTCAATAAATCAAATATTTATTTATTATTAAAATATGTTTTTAAAATATACTTTGTCAACTCTTAATCATGATATTACCAAATCTCTTATCTAACTCAAAACTTTGACTACAGCAGGAAGGATGGCATTCAACATTCTATAAACAAATGGTTCCCCGTTAATAAGTAAATCATACTTCGCTATCATGAGTTAATTTTATCTTTACAGAATTAAAACAGAGACCGAAACACTTGTTGATGTTTGTCAACCCATTTGGAGGAAGGAGAAGAGGACTGAGGATTTACAAGGAGGTAGTAAAGCCTCTGCTGGACATCGCAGGAGTCAAAGTGGACCTGACGATCACGCAGCGCGCCAACCACGCTCGTGACATGCTACTGCAGGACGACTTGTCTAGATACGACGGTGTGGTCTGTGTAGGAGGAGACGGGACATTCTCAGAGCTCATGAACGGTCTGATCTCTCGGACTGCCCGGGACAACGGCATCGACCCTGACAACCCCTCGTGTGACCTCATTAAGCCGAGGTTACGTCTCGGGGTCATCCCAGGGGGCAGCACTGACACTGTAGCCTACTGCATTCACGGAACTACTGACATACAGACTGCTGTTATCCATATCATTATAGGTAACTAAAGGCTTACAGTGTATTCGTTTCAACTTTAAATTTAAAGTTTAGTACACAATTGATTGAAGCCTACATGATTCACTAGCCTTCACTAGTGGTCAAGTATGAGAACGCTACACTAGTTTCTGTCCTTTTAATTTAATGTAGGCTATCCATTATTTTAGATGGAGAGTTGGCAAGAGTTTATTTGTAAGACCTGTATAACTGAATACGATCTCAGAAAACAAGTCATTTCTCAATCTAGATCCAGAAAAGCTGAGTGGTTATAGTGCTTGCCTAACAATCAAAAGGTCGCCGGTTTGATCTTGAGAAAAGTCAGTAACTTTTTGAAGGTTCGAAACTGGAACTAGCTTTTCCTGATCATTGGGCTTTAAATAATTGATCCTGGCTAATGAAACAGCTGATCTTTTAGTCAGTAACAAAGCTACACAGATCATTACACTTTATTCTACACTCATCGTTTACTCAACTTTCACTAACACAAATTATTGTCCAGTGTTATTTCTCTTTTACTTTGAACTAAAATTGTTTTCCTAGAATCAAAAGTATCATGACTACCTTTAATATATTTCAGTTGAAAGACCCACCTAGGTGGCGTCCCCATCTAAATTGCTAGTATGGTAATAATATAACTTAACGCTTTAAGCTAACAAGTTAAAGACAATATGAGCTTAATGAGCTACACATAGGCTATAGCTCTTTTATATTTTATAACATTATACCCTTCAACAAATTTTAGAAGCTTGCACCATACCTCAATGTGACTAATACAAGTTGAATGTAATTTCAGGAAAAAGTGCGGGCCTGGACGTAAGTAGCGTTCACAATCAGAATACCCTCCTCTGCTACTATTGCAGTGTTATCTCTTATGGATACCTGGGAGATATCATTAGAGACAGTGACAACTTTAGGTGGATGGGTCCTAAACGTTATGATTTCTCAGGTATGTGTCAGGTATGAGTAAATGGGACATAAAGTTTTATAGATTTGGTATTGGTATCATGAGATTTTATAGGTTATGTTTCTTCTACCATCAGATATTTTAGAAGATTTTATTTCCTGATAATTGTTACTGCAGGTAGTGGATCTTGCACACATAGAAAAGTTGGTTTTCTTATTTTAATAACATATGTAGGTGTAACAAAACAGATTTTCTAAATTTGATTTGTTAGAAATGTATATTTACAAAAAATACTCATTTAGGCCTATTTGCAGTGTCAGACTCTATGTTTGAAATAATTGTTTATTGAGACATTGGTTATCATAAATGAAGCACTACCATCACTCAAAAATACTACATACAAAGACATACTACAATTGGTTTGAAAAATATGTTATATTAGGGATTTATAGCATCCCATGTCAAATGTTGTTCAATAGGCCTACCAACTAACGTTTGTCTGAGGGTCAAAAGCGGACCTACTATGGTATACTGCTCAAGTCTAAAGTGAAATTTAGACCATTTAGACTAAGAAGTGTAATTTTTTTTTTTTTTTTTTTTTTTTTTTTTTGTAAAAATAGTATCAAACTCTTATCACACACAGGCAGAAGCCCATGTGATAATTTTTGTTTATTATATATGTAATGCTGCATTATTACTTGTTAAATTAAAGTTTGATTGATTACTTGATTGAAATAGTTTCATAAACCACAATAGTGGTAGTTTTATTTCTTTACATTAATTAAAAATAAAATCTTTCAAACTTTGTTAGTTTTTTAAAAGGGTTTTTTCACTTTTTACATTTTATCTATTTTACACTGTTGTGAGGCAAAAATTCCTCAGTTAGCCAAACATACTCTATTCTAGACATCCAAACTATTATTGCAAGTTAAGCAAAAATAAAACTCAAAAATGTTTCAGGTCTCAAAAAGTTTCTGGCAAACCAGGGTTATGAAGTGGAGATTAAGTTAGCTGTTAACGAAAGTATTACTGAAGAAGATTCTAAATGTTTAAAAGACTGCAAGCGCTGTGCATCTCAGAAAGATTTGACCGTTGATGATTCCACTCCTCCAGGTAACATATTATAAAATTGTGTTGCCCAAAGCAATTTCTACTGAGAGGTCTTTCAGCCATCATGAACAGTTTTGTCTAATTAACTAGTAACTCTGGCAAACAAAAATTATTGTCCAGTGTTATTTATCTTATACTTTGAACTAAAATAGTTTTTCATAGAATCAAAAATATCATGATCACCTTTAATTCTCGAGCACTGAGCACTCTCTCTTAGGGTTAGGCCCTTAGTCGAGAGTTTTTGTAAGGGGGAGCTTTATTTAAAGGGGATTAAGAGTTAAATAGGGATTTGTGTTATTCATGGTTTTGATAAGGCCGATAAGGGGAATTCTTTTGATTAAGATATTTTGATTGATTTTAAATTACGTGGAAGTAGATGCCTCCAGGACGTTTCCAATTAGCCATTCATTAGTGGGTTTGTTGTTAAAAATTGTTTTATTGTTACATAGAATAGTTAATTACTTTAAGATAATAATAAAAAGGTTCAGTACTTTGAATTTAATCTGGTCCTTTAATAGCCATCCAACTCCTAACTAAATTTATATAAGGTTAAAGATCCGGGTTTTACTAAAGCTACGCTCCCATGTGTATATGCAAAATAACCTGTGAAGGATGGGAGGATTTCCTGCATATCACACTAATGTGTATGTGTAATCTGTTGAGAGCGCAGGTCCTCCATTGGAGAGGGAGAAATGTATTGACTAACTGTAATATTTTATTTACTGTAAACCACTTTTACGCCACACTACACTATTTTGACGAACTTCCCATGCAAGGATTTAGTCCAGAAAACAGCTGTTTGCCACCAGCTTAATCAAATGGGGTTTCATTGCGTAATACTGTTCTGCAATGAGTTTTGCCGGACACCAATCAGCTGATTATACTGTATTTGCGTGGCAATGATTTAGTTATAAACAAAAACATAACCTTTATGACTAGTGATGTTTGGTCCTTTAGTTGGTGGAAATTTATAAGGATTTGTACGAATTAAGTAGTATGGCGTAAACTATCATACGTAACTCGTCCAAAATGTGTGTACCGGACTCGTATGGTAATCCCGTACTCGACTTTGTCTCGCACGGGAACGACCACACTCGTCCGGTAAACACTTATTTTCAGGACTAGTAACGTAATATACTATTGTAATAATAACACCATGAAAAAGATACAATGTGGAAAATTAAGAATATCAGAGAGCCTTTTATGGTTTACGCAAAATCCTAAAATAGTGATTACAGAGTTGACATTTTTTTGCACAGAAGCTAAACCATGAAGCACAGTCTCCTTCATAATTTAAAAGGTAAAAACCGATAGTACCATACCAAAAGTACTTAATTTGATCTTGTATGTGTTGTGAGTTAAATGGATATGTTGTGAATTTAACCCTTTACGTAGCTACCCAAGCTGATTTAATGAATTTCCTGAACTTAGAGGCGTTTGAAAGTTGGACTTATCTAAAGACTGTTTACACCCTGCTTAATTAGTCCTACTAATGGATGCTGACAAAGTATCGTAATTCGATATCAGTCAAAACTGGAACCTTTCAACCTATAGCAAAACAACACTCTAATGTATTTTAATCTAAAAGTCAGGTTACAATGCTCAAATGCATGCGCTCATTTTACACCTTCTTACTATTGGGAAAAATAAAAATCAGAAGTAGTAACAATTTTTAATTCAGCATAATTTGAGCCGAGAAGAACATGTATTTGGCAACTTTGAAACAAGTATATGTATTTCTGATTCTTTACAGAGTGGAAGACTATCAGAGGCAAGTTTCTGATGGTGAACGGAGCCAACTTATCGTGTGCCTGCCCCCGGAGCCCCAATGGCATTTCCCCCCATACCCATATGGGTGACGGCTGCCTGGATGTAGTTTTGGTGCGACACACGTCCATGCTCAACAATCTTCGTCTGCTGCTCACTCTTTCTAGCCGGATCAAATCTATTGTAAGTTTTTTTAGTGGGGTTTGGGGTATAGTTAACTTAGGCCTTTGGTACCACCCCTCGATTCAGTCCATCAGCCTTAGATTGTTATTGAACCCTAAAAACTGTTGATCACCATTTATTTTATTTCTTTAAGCCTCACAGTTGCCTCTCCTAAAAATTTCAATCTTCTCTAGGCTGGACAGTCTAGTTGCATAAAATCTGTATAGGTCCATTTGGCTAAACCCAATGGTTCCAAGGTACTTTCTAATTTGTCCTCGACCAGTCAAGAGCCCTACCTAAGTCATATGCTGATATACCGTAGAACCTCGATTAACCGAGGGCGGATCAACCGTGGTCAATTGATGCCTCTTAAATTATGTTACATAACCTCAAAAAATCTCAAGAAAACTTTTTTAATTGCGTTTTTTCAGTCTAATATGTTGAAATACACCGTATATTTAACTATTTCTGACCATTTTTATATGCAGTAGGTTCCCCCATGATTGTTTTTAAAACATCACACTTCATTTGACAAAAATAAAATTGAAGCAAGACAAAGAAATATCGATCAATAGCTTCAAGGTGAAGCTATCCGCTTGTACTGACAATTGTCTGCTCCTTACACATCCATTTGTCTGCTATCTGCTATGTCACAACAGTAGGTGGTTGGGTGATTAGTAACCATGACAACTTGTTGAATGTGTGGATGAAGAGAAACCAAAGAAAGAATAGAAGAACAAAGAGAAATAATAATTGGGGTTTTTTCATTGTTATCTTTATCTTATTTTACGACTGTTGTTAATCTTTAAGACTTAAGTACTATGATTTTATGCTGTTTATGAGTTATTTGATGTTTTTATCCACATTCTTCTGTTCTGAAACATCATGTAGTAGTAGCAGCCTATCATAACTACAGTGTCAGTAGTTTACTAGTCTAGACTCTCTTTTGTTTTATTCTTGACGTGATTTTTTACTGTACAGTGTTAAGCAATTTTTGTTTTGTTGGAGTAAGCGATGGTGCAGTTTTATTACTGAACCAAGGTTAATGACCTAACATATCACGATTGTGCAATACTGATTGAAATTTGATGATGCACTCCAAACACAGTACTATTCATTGTTTTATGGGAGTTATAGAGTTAGATACACGGTATTTTGACTTAAAATTTGCAATTTCAAATAAAATTTTAAATAACTCAATAATTTTCATTGATATGGGATTTTTAATTGTAAAATCTTAAAAGCAGATATGGTTTTTAATACAATGCCATTTAAAACACGTTTCTATCGTGTCTAGTTCACGAGATATGAGCGATTTTCTAGAACGCGCCTCAGTGCTACTTCCCCCCCTCCCACCAAGTTGTGCACCTGCTGGGAGGGTGACAACATCGGTTTTTGTCATCTCCAAGGTGCCCCCAACATCAATCAAAAGTCAAAATGCGTTACACATTCAGTACATACCCAATTTAAAAAAATTTTTAAAGTGTACTATAAGCTGATTTCTGCCATGCAGCGGTGTCACCTGCGTCACCGTGCCGCTTCAACGGAAACCTCGCATAACCTTGTAATATTTCTATATAATTACCATATAAAGTGACTTTAGTGTGTTAAACATATTATGCACGATGAAAAACTGTACTGTTTGTTGTTTTAAAGGGGTTTTAATGGATAGTTTAACGTTATTTGGAGTTTTTGATACATATTTAAAAATTAAATGATAAATAACTCAATTAATATTATAGATACGGGACTTTTCCTTGATATTTTTTTTAAAGCAGATGAAGCTGGTAATACAATGTCGTTTAGAGCTTGTTTTTATCGTGTCTAGTTCACGAGATATGAGCGATTTTCTAGAACGCGTCTCAAGGTACCTTCCCCCTCCCCCCCCCCCGCAAGTTGTGCACCTGCTGAGAGGGCGACAAAATAGGTTTTTGTCATCTCCAATGTGCCCCAAACAACAATCAAAAGTCAAAAAGAGTTACACTTTCAGTGCATACTCAACCCCCTATAGATGCTGGACTATTGGGACTTTACTTTACTTGCCGTACACAGTTTTGGCTATTATTAAGTTTTGTTTTATAGCTTATGACTACAGTAAACATCCATCTGCCCCCCCCCCAAAAAAAAAAAAAAGAAGAAGAAAGATTTGGGATAAACAAAGTCTCCAAATCACTCAAAACATAGATTGTCTAATGATTCTTAAAAGTAATGATCTAGAATTTAAATTAATAGAGTTACATCAAAAGGTTGCTCTTATCTTGTACTTATAACACTAATCATCAAATTAAAGTAAAATAAAGGACTTGCTATTTGCCAGCATTGCCTAAGCAACAACTATAACCATATCACGCAAAATTGACTGTTTATTAAGTGCTATAATTTATAAACTTTATTTTATATTAAATATCAGATATTTCACCAACTACACGTTTCTTATACAATTTGAACTATTATCCTTAGTAAAACCTTAAAATTAACCCTTGCAAAATTTGTTTAAAGCTTGTAATTTGCAACCCCAATTTTATTTCAAAAATATTACAACTTTGAATCCAACTCAAATTTAAAATACTCACTACCCTACAGCTTTTTTTCTACAGTGGTTTATTTCTCAAGTCATACTGTATTATGAGATTTATTGTTGTTTTGCAGTATGATTTGCCTTTTGTGGAGGTTCATCGAACGACACAGTTCTCTGTGCAAGCTGTTCCTAGTCCCAGCAGCCAGACTCAAACATCCGTGTGGAATTGTGATGGTGAAATGTTAGCAGACACCTCCGTCTCCATCAAGTAAGTGTAAAGTACTGTAGGAATTGAAAGTACCAAAACTGGCCAGTGCAAGGTTACATGACATGCAAATTAATTTTAAAAACCTCTTTTAACATGTTTTAAATCATTAAATGAATATAATGTCTACTATGAAAAACACAGTTAATGCTTATGTTTGTCCCCTATTGAAACAGAACTTCTGTTTTAATTTCATACTAAATAATCTACAACAGTCTATACAGCGTGCTAGGGTGCGCAATAATTAAATTTTGGATGAAGTGCTTTAAGGTCTCAACCTGCCCCTGTAAGATAGGATAAGATAAGATACAGCGTGCTAAAACAATCAAAAAGAAAAGTGCAGATGTCTAAAGTTGGCATAATGTTCTGAGTACAGGCAGGGGCTCAAGGGGTTGCCTTGACTACATGGAACTTGCGCACAGTTTCAAAGCACTCTGCAGGGAGGGTCGAATAAAACAAAGACAGGATTATCTAGACTACTGTGTAAACCCTCTTTCATGTTTTAAATTACATATTGAATATTTCAACTTTGTAATGTCAGGGCTGTACAAAAATAATTCCTTGCAGTAATATCCCCACATATATTACGGCTTCAGCCTGTGTATACCACAAGGCCCGGTAGTAGTAATCCAAATTTTAAATGAACATTTTTTTATGATTAGATAAATAGACCGTTTTACTTGTAGGATTTTTGACATCAGTGTGTACATACTTTTTTCCGCGAACACGGAGAATGCTGAGAAATCATGAACATCTTACTTGATCACGTGGACATCCTAATCGTCACCCGCAATCCAGTAAATCAATTACTAAGAAAATAGAAATTCTATTTTTGTTTAAATGTTTTGTGTACAAAACATTGCGGCCTAATCAGTCTAGTGGTAAATCCAGCACTGCCGGCAATGCCTTACAATAATTAAATCATCATTTACTGCCGTACCATATGTTTCAAGTACAAAAATCAAGTTTTACAAATTAGTTTCCAACAAGCTTCAAAAGCCTGACAAGGTTTGTCTGCTTGGTTTCAAATTTAAAAAAATATGATCCCCATTTTTCAATATGGCCGACATCTTAAATATTTCTTAAACAGGGTGATTACCGAGAAACGCATGTTTTTCAAATAAGTACTCAGGCAATTCAGAGCAAAAAATATATTTATGAATGGAAAAACAGTGTACACAATATGCAATTTCAGAATAACATTATTTACAATACAATTTAGCGTTTAAAATTTACATCTATAAGGTGGTTGCTTTCTGCTTGGATACAGTGTTAAAGGTGTTCCTTAAAACTTGCTACGAATTTTGCTAACATATCTCTAGGAATGGTGTTGATTTCCTGGTGAATAGCTTCTTTAAGTTTCTGTATTGTTTGTGCTTTGTTTATGTAAACTCTAGATTTCAAAAATCCCCATAGAAAGAAATCTGGAATTGTAAGATCCGGTGAGCGAGAAGGCCAAGTGTCATCACCAAAACGTGAAATAACTCTTGTAGGGAATGTTCGCCGAAGGAATTCCATACTAATGCAAGCCGTATGGGCTGTTGTCCCATCTTGTTGTAACCATACATTCCAACAAGAATCTCCCTGCTCGTGTATCTCTTCTCGTTGACGGCGCAGTTCTGGCAAGAAATATACTTCCAACATTTCTAGGTACCGTTGTGCATTCACTGTCACTGCTCTGCCATCGTCGCCTTAAAAAAATAAGGACCAATGATACCATTTTCACTAACCGCACACCACACAGTCACACGTAAGCTATGAAGAGGTCTCTGAGCTACGTTTTGAAGACTTTCTGCACACCAAAATCGTAAATTCTGTTTGTTGACTCTGACTGCTCCATCCAAGTGGAAATGTGCTTCGTCACTCCAAGGATAACTGCTTCGTCATTTTCGTCTAAAATTTCACTCATTGTGTTACAAAAATTTACTTGTTGCCTCTTATCTGCTTGACTCAATTGATGACATACTGCCAGCTTGAAAGGATGAAATTTAAGATCTTTGACCAAAATCTTTCTCACAGTGGATTAGTGAAGCCCGAGAGCAGATGCCCGCTTCCGAATTGAGCGGCTAGGAGTCTGAACTGTTGCAAGGCGCACTCTTTCAACTGTCTCAGGGTTACTAACTGTCTTTGCCGGTCCAGGAGGTTTCTTCTTAAGCAAATATCCAGTTGTGTAAACATTATGTATCCAACGTAATATTGTGTTACGATAAGGAATAGCATAGTGCTATGTTAAAATGTGCACCAAAGTCTCTCTGAGTCTTAGTGACTGATTCACCATTTACGTAATATCGCCGCATGACAAACGTACAATGCTCAAGGTTCCACATCTCGGCAACAATTGAAACTGCACACTTCCCCCTCCTTAGTGCAACAACTTTCGACCTTTGCCGTATACTACGCAAGTCAAAAACATGCGTTTCCCAGTAATCAACCTGTAGAACACTCTGTATTTTATGGTATTTAAGAATGTAGATGCGATTTTAAGACTTATTTATTCTTTGCGTTTTCTCTCTAAACTTACTCGTTTATGAGCTACAGGATGCCGAATGTACACCACAAGCCATTTTTTTCTTAGATATAACACGCTGTAACTCCTAAATGAGTAGCTTTCGAGAAAAAATTTCAAGAATAAAAACGTTTTAAAATTTGATTTACATTCTTAAACAATCATAAAATACAGAGTGTTATATAATAAATATTGAAGATGGGGGTCATATCTTTAAAGTATGAAACCATCCCAAAAAACATCTTAAAAAATAAAGGGGAGTACCCTATAAGAAGTTAAATATATATCTAATAATAAAAAAGTTAGCTATTGGTACACTTTAACCCAATAGTGCTGACTTAATTGCTTGGCGAGGGTTACTCGTACGGCCGCTGCCGGCCCGGCGGCTGACTTATGAGTACCGCTCGTGTCACCCAACACCATTAGGTATTTTATTATTACTATTTCCCCTCCTTTTTTGTTTCTTCTTACTTTTAATTGCGTTTATAAATATCTTGCTTCTTGTTTTGCGTATTTACTCATTTATTTTTGCGAATAACAAACAATGTTGTGTTGCCATGGAAACCAGATATCACAAAAAATCTCCTGCGGTAAGGTAAAACAAAAAAAAATGTTTTTCTATGTTATTACTTATAAAAGTACACAACTTGTGATTTTTCTATGTAGGGATTCAATTTAACTTTATAATAGTAGTGTCATTTGGTGTCTGGATTAATCTTGGAATTTGTAAATCAAGTTTACTTTCAAAAAATTGTTTTAAAATTTGTATTTTTTTTTTATTTTATTTTACACTCTGACTATCCAATTACCACTTTTTTGTAGACAATCTTACTAAGAAAAAAACGGCGAAAGGATTATTAACTTGTTACATAAGGTTTTCTTTCTATAACAATTGGAGTTAAAGTCTATAAATTCTGTCTGTAAAATTAATTGCCGAAATTAATTGCTGACAGAGAGTGCTGCAGTTAGCGCATTAATTCCCTGTATAAGCCAGGTGGACAGGTTTCCCGCATCAGGTAACTTGAAATACACTAGAGGCAAGTACTGGCCTCTCGTAAATGGGGCTTTAAGGCCGGGACACACTTGAGCACCGGGCCTGCGCCGTCACACGGCCGATCTGAGTCCGCGACACGGACTAGTGACGGTGGTAGGAGAACACACTGTCCCGTCACTACTCTGAGCGACAGCCATCAAGCATTGTCTCAATAGTCAGTTCAACTCAAATATATCCTTAAAAAATGTCATATTTATTATCTATTTAAATAACATTAGTTTAACGAGTTCTTAGGTTTGCTGCTACAGAGAAGGCAATAAGGTGTTTTTTGTCCAAACGTTAATAGCATACTTACTTACTTTCCATGTCCGGAAATCAGACTTCGCTTTTCAAAAAATTAGCTACCGATTTAGCTTTGTCATTCGCTTGTAAAATATCATCTAATGTGCAAGACTGGTCTAGGCGTTAATAGCATAGGATAAGATAAATAAAATGAATATAAAAATAAACCATAGTATCATTTTTTAATTAAAAAATTATTTAAAAAGGGTACTAGGCCAATGGTTTTTTCTATTGATTTAAATTATGACACAAAACTACTTCAGTGCCTATAGGCCATAGAACCTGATATAATAAAAATACAATCTGATAAATATCAACCATAACAGTGTGTTCATATAAATATATATGAATTTGTGAATTTCATGTTTCACGAGGCCGCACCGACATCGTCAAAAAGTAAACTAAACTAGTCTGTGACGGTGCGGTCTCGGCAAGGGTAGCAAACACTGCGACGGTGCTGGCGCAGATCGGTGGTGTGTGTCCCTACACGTTTGAATGCCTTGTTTTAGTTCTTGCCGCAGCACGGCCGACACTCGGCCGTATGTTGGCACGGACTCGGTGCGGTCAAGTGTGTCCCGGCCTTTAGGGTTCTTCTAGCATAACTAGTCAGATTACAAGTGCCTATAAACAAAATATAAATGATGTAAACCTGTATAAACATTACAGTACAAAATGGATTTTTTGCATTTTACATTTAAATAGATACATGAAAATATAGGTACATTACAGAACTGTAGACTGTGACATGTTGTGGCTCATCCCAAGCTAGAACATAATCAATCATGCTGCCAACGGGCTAAAAATGACCAATAATCAAAGGGACAAAAACATATTAGTAATTAAGTGGAACTTATTAGAATGTTACTTGTTACTTGGATCAAACATCATTGTACAGATTTCCTAACAATGTAAACAAAATTTGGAACTGTTTCAGAGCACATTGCCAGCTGCTGCAAGTGTTTTTCCGCGGAGTCGAACCTTGTTTGGAAGATGAAACTCCTGGATGCTTTTGTTTCTTATAATTGCCAAGTTTCCTGTTAAATTGTTTGGTTGACTGAGGCTGTAGATTTTGATAACGAAGCATTATATTTTTAAGGACTTACGTGCAATGATACAATTGATATTGTATATATATAAATATATTTTTATATCACTATAATATAAGACATACCATTACAGCTATTATAGATGTTATCTTATGTGCGGTTTGGTTGTATTTGGCTGTGTATTTAATTCACATATTACATCACATTACTCTCTAGAAGGCAAAGTATAAAATTAATGAATATCATCAGGCAATGTTATTGAATAAAAATATAAATAACTTGTTAGTATGATCAATACTAGGCAAATGTTTATGAAATTGTTCAATGATTGTAATAGTACTGAATGCCGAAAGTGCTTTCATATTTTTTTCATGACAGATATTTTTGTGCATCCGGGGTAATTGTTTCATAGAATGTTATTTTTGTTCAAAATTTTACTGTGTCAGTTTTAAATAAGTGTTAATGTTATTCAGAGAATTATTGAGAATACTTCCCATCCAATAGATAGTGGCGGTGATATCGGGCTTGCGAGCCTTGACCGGGATTTTCCCAGAAATTTTATTGGGACCCAGACACGCGACCGGCCCTGCCTCATATTTTTAATTAACATCATTTAGATATTTATATGATTACTACCATGCGGTTTTTTTGGAGCGCTAGGACAAACAACAGCTAGATTGACACTACTTGGTCGATTGATAGAAATTCTCTACCAACCTAAGTCATAAAATTTACTGTAGTTCTGCGGGTGCATTAACTGTTTTTGTGGTCTGTGTGAAGGCGGTATAATAGGGTCGTGTTTAGAACCAATATGGCTCTCGGCGGGTCACACCAGAGAGGGGCCCCTTTATGCTGATTCAACTGAATAAACTCAATCATTTTTTTACTATCAAATTGGCAAATAAACCTCTAATAAATAACTACATCCTTTCATTAATACTTTTAGGGAGCTGCAAACCAGATTTGTTTACTTTGAGTCAGGTAAAAAATGTTACCTTCGGTTCTAGGGCCAAAATCAGGTTGATTTGCTTAGGAAATTGTCGATTTTAATCCGAGCAAGCCTGGCCTACAAACTTGAAATATCTAGTACAAAGTCAGAAAATCAGCTTGAGCCGAGCTTTGACGACCTGGATAGCATAGCAACCGCAGAACTTCTGCGAGTATCATGTCCACGCGATAAAAAAAAGATTGGCGCTTTTGCTGTGGTCGGTAATGTCAACATTCGAAAACATGATGTCTCTGCGACTGCGGGAGATGTTCAATATTTTGCCACGGTTGCGGAAGACGATAATGACGTCCACTCAACCGTGGGAGACGTTCAGGATTTTGCTGCAATAGTGGAAGACGATATTAATGTTTTCGTGACCGTCCGAGATATTCAGGATTTTGCCGCGATCATGGAAGACAATGATGGCGCCTCGTTACCTCGTGAATTGTCGTACCAAGCCCAAGTACAAGCATAGGTGGAAATACCTGTGAAAATGTTTTTAAGAATTATTGGGGGAGGTGGGGCCCGGAAAACAGACTTTCGGGGGGGGGGGGGGGGTCGCGCATTCTTATTGCCGCCACTGCCAATACAAAGTAAAAAAAGGGTTTTTACTGTTTTGGGATCTAGGATATATTGTTGTCTTTTAAACTTTAAGATCAGTGCATACTATGTATATAGAGTGTAAAAAATGCATAACCCATACAGTAAAAAAATCATAAAAGTGAGGACATAAAAACTATTTAACTATTCAGACACCTGATCAAATTCTAGATCCTCAAAAAGGAATACTTTTTTACTTTTACATTATGGCAAACATTCTCAACAATTTCTTAAAGTAAAGTAAATTAAATTATCATCATCAACAATGAATTACAACTATAGAAATTAGTATTTAATCTGTCCTGTTGCTAATAATTTCAGGGAAAATGTATTTTAAGTGCTTTTAATATTGTATTGTTTTGAGGCCTTCTCATTAGAGCTCGACTTCCCTATCTCTAGCTGTATAGTTGATAATGATATTGTTATTTGTGTGATTGTTTATAAGATTGAAGCATGAGAAATCAAATTTCAAAGTTATGTCAAAGTAATAAATTGATATTGCAATATGTGTAAAGCACAATAAACAAAAATCAGCAAATATAACTTAAGATGAAAATCTATGAATCATATGTTTCAAACTTAGTTAACAAACATGAAGCTGATTGATTATAATTTTCTCTTGCGTCATCATGATCGTAACTTGTGTGTATGTGTGTTTTGTTTTGTCTATAGTTTATTATATGTTTTTGTTAAACAAAAATATTTGTTACTTTTTATTAGATCTCTAGATTGTAGTTGATGCTTCAACTTCTCAGTTAATGTCTTTTCTGTCCAAATGTTTATAAAAATAATGGTTGCTAGTCTACTGTTTATGTGAATTACAGTTGTATGTGGACCAAAAAAGTTTGTCTATGTTGGATTGCAGAACAATCTTTCTTATCCAACTTAAGTTTTACTGGCTTGGAAAAATACACATTACATGGACATCTTTCAAACTTACCTTGATCAGTATCATAGCAAGAAGACTATACAAAAGTAAAAATGTTGTTAGCTTCTTACGAATTATTGTCCTCTTTGATTTTGCGTAGGTAAGTTATAACAAACTCATATTGAGTACATTTTCTAAAATTTAAAATCAGTTAGAAATCAAGTTTGCAAATTTTACACTTACTAAAATGGGTGAAATTCAGTGGATGTGGAAGATGTGTTCTTTGTATATTCTAAACAATATGGAAAGGATCTAGAGTCCCAAGTTCAAGGACTTTATCATATATTTATACCATTTTGTTAACCAGCATTCTTTCTTTTACTAATGGTAACATTTATAAATGTAAATGGTCCTAAATGTGACATCTAGTTGCATTTTTTAATTTTAAATAATTAAAAACTAAACTCAGCTCCTACCTAAATTTCTTAAAACCTTCAACTGGCAGTGCAACTATAATAGTCACGGTAGTTGGTGCTTTTAGTGGCAGAGACATTAGTGGCAAAATAGTCACGTTTTTTAAGGTTTTTAAACTCCAAATAAAAATTGAGAACTATTTTAAATTGAATAATTTGTTTACCAATTGAAAGATGAAATGCTGTACTTTCTTTCATTTTATAATAGGTATGAAAGAACTTATATCACAAACAAGTCAATGTAATTTAGCACAAAAACTAACCAAAATTTCAAGCAAAGTCAGTTGCACCATGTACGTGTCACAATACTGTCAAACATGGTATGTTTCAAAATATTATGGACAGGGATATTTTTCTTCCACAAAGAAACGGGTGGTACCGCTGGAAATCATTTTCTTTATGGTGTAAATATTATTTTGATAACCTTACATGTGATACTCTCAAAACAATAACAATTAAGTCACTGTTACGTGTTTGTAGAGCAACAGAGCCATCATATTTATAATATTTTAATTTTTGTTTACGAACCATTTACTTTTATATTGTATGAAAATAAATCAATTAAAATCGTTATTGACCTAATATCAATAAAATCATTTTAAGATTCATTGCAGTTAAAGTTGAACAAGTAATTGTGTAATTTTTCTAAAAATATGTGAAAGATATATAACAGTGTTGGTACTAAATTTGGAAAATAAAATTCCCTGACTTTTCCAGGTTTTCCAGACTGATATTATACTTTTTCCAGGTATACCGTAAGTCAATATCGACTAATCAAAATCAATAAATATTAGACAAAATGTAAATATTTATTTTATTTTTAATCACTCCCAAACAAAACTTGATTCAAACTGTAGGTCTATACATATCAATTCCTCTTCCGTACCGATAACTATCTATATAAAAATGTGCATCAGTGCTTATGTTGTTCTTTTTGCCATAAGTCATCATCCTGACAAAAATATGTAGAGCAAAATTTAGCATATCTGTAAAAAGTTAGTCTTTCAGGAGAAATTCCAGAACTTTTTCATAATTCCCTGACTATTCCAGGTTTTCCAGATTTTCCCTGACCGTACCAACCCTGTATAAGGAACCGAACCTTGATCAACAAATTACATGTGCCTTTATGAGCACAAGTAATTTGACACATATGAAGTATGAAAATTGCATATCTAAACTAAGAAATAAAAAAAGAAATATAAATCAAATCTTTGGAAACTGAAAATGACTTTAATTATTTCAATAGTTGTCTGTGTTTGCATAAAGCTCTTTTAATCTAAAAAGCATAGCTCTAAACATATTATATGTGATTGTGTAAGTGTAAAAACATACAGACAGCGTAGCGTAGCGCAGCGCAGCGCATGTTTTAAATCAAAACCGTGCATTGAAATGAGGTATGACATACTAGTAGCGTATTTCGGCGTAGCGTAGCGCAGCGCAGCGCAGCGTACGACCGAGGAACAAACTATTTTGTTTTTCTCAGAGCGTATTGGAGCGCATTCGACTGCAGACGCACTTAAGGGTCAATACTAGTCTCTTTTCTGTACCAATTGGTCCCCTACAATTAGTTGTCAGCTTCTCTCAATCATCCTTCACCAAACTAAAAATGTAATCGAACGTTGTAGTCGACATTCTTGCATAATTCTTAAACCGAGACTCGTGTTTCCTAAGGATTGGAAATAAGATGTATTTACCATGTTTGCCCCTGCCTTTACACACTTCATGCACCCCAACACTTCTCCTACTGATAAAAAACTGCCACCTTAAGGTATTTTCGACAAAACTAATACGAGCCGTCTTCGACAGAGCCATCTTCTATACTGATGTACCCTATTAAGACTGTCTACAACCTATGTTGCGCTACGCTACGCTGCGCTCTCTGTGTGTATTGGACAACGCTGCGCTCGGCTACGCTACGCTGTCTGTATGTTTCTACACTAAGTTTATTATACTCAAAAAACTTATATGAATATAATTAATTTATATGAATTTACGCACACTAGTTGTCAGATCTTTTTAAAATAACCCTTATAAAACACTTTGGACAAGAACGTGTCCCTTTCATTAAATGTTAACAAGTATTGTGTATTTCCAAAACTCTTCTTTAAAACTTTCGATCAACACCGCTCTGGCCCTATGCTTCATCTTGAACTCTTATCGCGAAATTCCCAACCATAATAATTATACATTCCATAAACTAAACTGTGAATTCACTCTTTAAAGACTGTTCTGTTAAGTTCAGTGTTTTGTGCCAAAATGTTTCAGTTTTTTTAAGAATGCACATTTAAAAAAAGTTTTCTGTATAGAGTAGACCATATCATTCTGAATCTTCATAACACTTTCTGTCCAGTATTATTGTATAGTAAAATTAAGTCTCTGTTATAAAACCTGCAATGGATAATTCAATTTCTTTCAATTCATAATTTTTTAAATCTAGTTTATGTTAATCTAATTTTAGGTTCAATTTAGTAAGAGCATTTAAAATTATGATTAATTTGTTTTTTTATTTCGGGTTGAGCTTTATACAATCGATGGGAGAATATTTTCTTTGCCAAATAGTTGAAAACATATTCTAAATAATACACAGTATGTGTAATGTTATTGTTATAGACAATAAAAGTTGTAATTTTATTTTATGATAACATGTTTAAATGTTGGTTTGTGGTTTGTACAGGTCATTCATTATTCATTACATGAAATGTAATTTAACTAGTAAAAAGTCTGCATTCACATTCCTTTGTCAACATGGAAAGTATGTAGTCAAATGTTATTCCTATGAAAATAGGACATAGCAAGGCGATTGATTCCTATGGCAAATAAAGTCATATCTGCCAACTCGTGAAAAGTTATTTCAGAACCTGGTTATATTCTTAGTTAGTTAATTGTTTTAAGAGGATAGATACAGTACAGTACTAAAAAAACCTATCCATCATTTTAAAAATATTATGTTCTGGCAACATAATATTGTAATAGCTAACTGCTCTAATTCTTGCTTCAAATTAAAGTTATACTGCCTTCTTTGCTGGTTGCTAAGCATCAAACCCTCAAAGGCTGGCCAAAGGTGCATGATGCAGTCATTTATGTACTTTAAATAAAGTCTGTCAGCCTGTCTAAAAATGTATGTCTAGTGTATTCACATACACTGAGAAACAATTGATTTTATAAATATTTAATCAATAATTTTATAGACTGAAGAAGAGTAAGTAAATGTCATCACTTTATTACTTTAA